CATACTGACACGTTTCTGCTGGAATCGCGCAACGCGGATTGTTCGCCAATTAGGATCGATTCGAGGAATGGGGTCAGACGGCTAACTCTGTTTCGGCGAAATCGCAATTCGGACGAAGATAAGACGACCAGGTCCAGATAAAAATGATGTCACCTCGCGTACCGAAGTTATTTAATCGTTCGCCAACTGCCGCCATCCCAGGGGAAATTCCCTCTTGAAACAGAGCGATACAAATAAAACACTCAATTACGAAGGCCTACATTCGCTGAAAGCAAAAAGTATTTAATTATAACAGTACCGTCGCAACTCATCTCTCAATTACTCAAATGAAATACTCTGATCACCGGAGTAAACAGAGCCCATTCGAACGGCTCGCTAATAATTCGATCATTAACGCCAACGACCACAATAGAAAAGGGCAAGAAGGGTTACAGAAGACATCCCCAGTTTTTCATCGAGAAAAACACGACTCTGCCCTCGTTTCCCTCTAACGTTTACTTCGATAATCCAATAATTCCACTCTAATTCACGGTTCACGCTAAATTGCCACGCGTCCCTCGCAAATTGGTAAACAATCGGCAATTGCCGCAATTGCGCTCGCAAACGAGTGTCAACCGATTGCCGGCGCAACCTGTTAGCTGATCGCCCGGCTAATTATCAGCGTCGACTGATAATAAGCGGCACAATAAATTTCCATCATAATCGTTGATACAATACGTCTGGTTTCGTAACGCCGGCTGGCCTCAATAGGCCTCCCTTAATCTTTCCCGATGATGTTTTCAAACAACTGTAAATAACGTGTGTACGTGTTTGCTCTACCTAATTCCGCGTCTCCGCGGTTTTTCCCTTCCTCGTTCTCTCCGCGCGAGGCGTCGACGCAACCGAGACTGTTTGCTCAACCTTAAGCGCAACGCAGTCGCCTTTTGATCGGTTTAATTCTAATGGACCGTAATCCGCCATCACGAGAGCCATTCCAGCAGCCGTTTCAGATCCATTAAGCGCACTTTCCAATTGAACTTTTAAACCCACACCCGCCGGGCTAAGGCTGTTTAGACACGCATCGGCCGTTCGCGCGGCCACGTTGATTCGATTACTACGGGAACGGGCGCGCAAATACCGCGAAACCGTTTGCGAATTAAGACGAAGGGGCGACCGGCCCGGTTGCGTGTGCGCTCGGAGGAATTCAATAGCGCCAATTTCGTCCCTCCTTTGAAGAAAATCTGACGCGAAGTAGAATTCCTCGGAACTTCTTGCGTTTCGTCTGGGCTCGGCTCTTCGAAGTATTCAGTTGCCAAGGTGATTCACTCCGGAGAACGAGCAATTCGAAGGGTTGATTGAATTTAAGTGTTTCAATTATTTCAGCGGTATTCATTGATTTAGAGGAATTCGGGAAAATTTGAGTAGAGTCCCATTAGAATTTTGAAAGTTAGAATAAGTATTTTGATGTGAATAATACGACTCTATCGATATTTCTAATCTGAACTTGAAAAGAATTTTAACTGGAGACATTTGCTTATGTTTCTAATCTCGTTTACTTGGTTATAGTATAAATTAACATACTGAAGGAGGATAGTCGGTATTGTTATTAGCTATTGTAATATAAGCAAAAGAAACTTCTCACTTTATCTGGAACATTTATTAATCGCTTAACAAGTATTTAATAACATTCGAAACAATTTTACGGCGGATCGCGAGATCCCCGAGAAGAGTCGGATTGAGACGTAAGAGCCTGGTAACATTGATATCAGCTCGCAGGCTCGTTACCAAAGGGTATCATTACCGCGGGTGTTAAAATTACACCCCGCACGTTGCCCGACAAGATCTGCCCGCGATATAATATAAACCGATTTCCAATTTGGTAATGAACCGATCAACTGGACGGCCGCTGATCTGCATACATATTGCCTCGGAGATTCTTAACAGCGACTTTCACGTTCCTCGCGTAATTCCGCCGCGATAGTAATTCTTGTTGATCCTCGGCGCGGCGGGCAGACCATAATTTTCCAATTAACCGTGATAATAAAAATCAATCTCTGTCGTGTTTCGGCCGTTTATCACGGCGACACCTTGTCATTTCATTCTCTATCGTAATTCATTGGCGAAACACGAATAATTTCATCATTAATCGGTTGTTTCACCGCTCTCGCGGTCGAGCGTTTCTTGGCGTCGAATTATCATACTTAGTTGTTGCTTCCTGGTAATTGGAATATAGAAAACTTTCCCCTCTCTGCGTCCAACTATATTTTATCGAACGTTTTTCCAGTGTAAAGTAATCCTTTGTGCGGGAATCTCAATTATTTTACAAATTTGCTATATCAAAATAATTTCCTTATTTTCATAAGAAAATTTCATTGAACTTGTAACATTATAATTTCCTTTGCAGTAACTGTATCTATAAAATTGCAACGGAACTGAGTAACGTAAGTAGGAATATTTAAAATAAACCGTGAGGCGAAGGGTTGACACTAGAACTACCGTACCAGTGAAAATTGGTTTGGATTTGTTTGTTTCGGACTTATTAATATCTTAAAAGCATTGAATATTCGAAATAATCTTGAAAATAAATTGTTTCACTTGAATGCTATAATGAATGTCTGAAGAAACCGAAAGAAATCTTTTGGTACGTTTTTTTATGGGCATTATATATTAATCGTATTAAATGCTCGGTAGTTTTAGTGTTAATAATGCTGATTCCTTTGGGAGTGTTACGATCCGTGCATTAATGATAGGAATGCTCGATTGAATTATAGTTTCAGGTACATTAGCTTCTGTTTCATCAACGCGAATAGGGGCTAAGCACACCGATAGTCGTGTGTGTTTTGATATCCCCTTACAAACTGCGTTCGTTATCATCGCACGATGTTCTTTGGCTAGTTACCCGTCAGATAGTGCGCTGAATCCAGTGATATACGATTTATGCAACTGCAATTAATACCTGGCGTCTGGATGTAGGTGGAAAAATGATGTAACGTTAAATAGTTACGACTGTTACATCATGGCTTGAGGAGGAACAATCTTCCAACAACGCAGTTCATTAACTTACCTATTTGAAAACTGGTAATCTTTTATTTCTGTAATCTCAGCGTTAATGAATTACTCGTCAGGAATATATTATTCTTAACAATTCATTACAAAAAGATGAATTCTATGTTTCTTGTAAATCTATTCCAAAGATTCAACACTGGTCAGTGAAACACTTTATTTCGAAAAAAATATTACTGTCGCGATCTTTCGATGATTCTCTTCACGAAAATTTAACCATCATTAATTTCCTAGAATATCAATGATTAAAGTTACAAACATAATACAAATGTTAACGACAATGTTAAAATCTTTCTTCGTTCTCGGTTATCTCAAAATTATTTTTATTCCCAATTACCGCAAATTTGTCTGCATTATCAATTAACGATACAGAGGACTATCGTACGAAAAACCTGGAATTATCAGGAATATTTCTTCGTTCCTAATTACCACAAATTTCTCTACATTCCCAATTAACGACACAGAGTACCGTCACACGAAAAACTGTCGGAACCTTTCGCCACATTCGAGAAGGAAGAGCCTGCGGGGGTGTCGCGCCCGCCAGCGTGTAAATATGCCGCCGCGGCGCCGAGGCGCGTAAGTGGAAAATACTTAGAGGTTGCCTATAGCAGCTGACGTTAATTACGAGCGGCTCAATGTGAATAGCCGCCTTGTTCCGAGGTGGCGCACCACATACCCTTCTTCCCATTCTTTCGCTGTTCGCGACGCGGGTTCTTGCGAGCTGCGCGCGTGGCATCGCAGAGTAAGCGAACGAAAGAAAAAGAGCGAGAGGGAGGGAGGAGAGGAGAGAAAAAAATCGCGTTTCCGCCTTTTGATAGCGCCGGCGACCTCGTTTGATGAACACCCGGCTGTATCGGGCGGAATCGCGGATTTCCAGGCGATGCTGTTCTCTTTCTCGTGACTCGTCGTCACGAGAAGACCGGACTTTATCTGTCAATGTTAATTAATTAGAGGATATGTGTCAGTGGACGTGATAATTCGAACCCACCGCGAGGAGATCAAAAGTCAAAAGTTTCACGGATATTGAATAATAATTTTAGCTGTCTGTTTTCAACTCTTCACCCCTTTGAATTTTTATAGATGACTTTGCGTGTGTTCTTAGGTTCGCCGATTAGCTGATTGTTCGGGGAATAAACGATGCAACGAGCTTGGATGCTTGATATTGGTCTTGGGTGTTTATAGAGATTAGGATCAGGAAGTCCGATGGTTTTATAGTTAAAATAGAAAGGATCAGAAGTTAGAGAATTTTTGAGCATTTGTGTTTGAGTTTTGTTTAGGGCTACAGTCTTAGAGGATAGATCTACAACTCTAAATGGACGCTCGAATTCTAAGGGTCGCACTGAGGATAAGGCGCATCCCATCTTTTAATTGATCAGCTGACCATTTAAACTCTGTGTTTGATGACCAATGATCCGTGTCGCAGTGTATACGTAACCTAAATAGATTAAAATTGCAACACACGCAACAGTATCAAATAGCACGCCCTCGATTGAACTATGCAAGAACAAAGTTAATGGATGGTTCAAGGTCGCCTAGAGATTCCTTCGATCGTCTAATATATTCTGATGACTTAACTCTGTTATTCTCTTGTACAAATCTGCCCACGTTTTACTTTATATAGAAGTGACATGGGATTTGAGTTAGCGTTCAGTGATCTAGGAAAAGGAGTATCTAATTAGAAAACAATTGTATTCACTTGCGACCTAAAAATTACTATATTTACTTGTTTCAGATAATAATGAACCTTTATCTATACTCGAGTGACAACCCCTAACTTCCAAATCTCAAATGGCTCGCCTAAGATTATAGATATTATTAATATAGATGCTCATTGATTAATCTTAATATAAATAGATACGAACTACAAAATCACTCTACTGTTTCCATTACCGAGTGATATCAATGGTATGCAACTTTTTGCTCGATAAACAGTACAACAGATTTTCATAATGTTCCAGGCCGAACGTGTGCAGGTCAAGGTACAAGAATTATTGTTGCCCCGGCTGGTCGAGGAAGCCGGAGACCGGACACTGCGTAATTCGTAAGTACGAGCTGCGCCCATCTCGAATTAAACCTCAATTATAATTCCCGTGTGTGTTCCGTCCTTCTGTATTCGGGCGTGATCTCATAAACGCGCGAGAACCGTTGGTCGTTCTTCTACTCGAAGTACAGTTGGGAGATGACTCGATGTCTGGCGTAACCGCAAAGTGGTAAGAGGTGTCTTTCTAGTTTACGGTTTTATTGTTCTCATCGGTTACGTGTAACCGTATCGACCAATGGTAATAGGTATCAAAAATATCAGACATTAGAGAATAAAACCAACGGAGAATTCGATGAGAGAAAATGGAAACTAATCGACAAACCGTATCGACGAAAAGTAAATTAGCCGTAGAAGATATCAGGAATTACGAAATAGGAGTAACAGAAGATTTGCTGAAAAGAATGAAAATCAATTGACAAACTGTATCGACGAAAAGTAAATCAGTCATCGAAGATAGCAGAAAGTACAAAAAGAAACTAACAGAAAATTGGATAAGAAAGAATGAAAACTAATTGACAAACCGTATTGACGAAAAGTAAATCAGTCATCGAAGATATCAAAAATGACAAAAAGGAACTAACAGAAAATTGGATAAGAAAAAATGAAAACTAATTGACAAACCGTATCGACGAAAAGTAAATCAGTCATCGAAGATATCAGAGAGTACAAAAAGAAACAGAAAATTTGATAAGAAAAAATGAAAACTAATCGACAAACCGTATTGACGAACAGTAGATTAATCATCGAAGACATCAGGGATTAGGAAATAAAACCGACAGGAGGTTAGGCGAGAAAAACTGAAAACTGATCGATCAGCCGAATTCATTAGTCCAGCCATCAAGTGATTTCCTGGTAATACCTACGGACGTCCAGTTCAGAGACGGCGATCGATTGACGAGAGAAAGATCGGCGATCGACCTCGCTTTTACACGATGATAATAATTGCGCAATTGACCGACGAACGAACACACGGGGCGTTCATGCGACATGACCGATCCGCTCCTCGAGCGAAATTGCTTTAATGGACTGTTGCATGCTCTTCCTGTTGATTGCATCGTATCGCGGTTCGGCTCGCGAACCGACATGACACTTGAGTTCGATACCTGTTTTATTCAGCCCCTTGTCTCGTAATATCGAGCCAGAACTCGTTGCTCGCATTGCCAGCTGAATTTATTGCGGGCATTACTCAGTTCAATTGAGGCGATGGGAAATGTTCCCTTGTTATTAATATATTCAATCTAGGGGATGAACGTTCATTTGGAGTGAAGAATTCATTTGATTAATTTGGGATTAATGTATCCATTCAGAGAGTGCTGATTGGGAAAATGTTAGTTTAGATTGAGAAGTTAATGATTACGAAAACTTCACTTTGAATTGAGATTACCGATTATGAAAGTATCATTTTAGAAAAAAATTGTATTATATGGAAATTTATGTTAGAATGTTGTATATTTGTAAAGACGGTGGTACGTTCTCCAAGAAATATGGAAATTGATCTTTTTAGCTGTATGCTCAAGACGCTGCGGTCCAGTGGGCAAATGCATCAGACCAAATATTTGCTTGTGCGAGGGTGGCACTGTGGCCTCGTCTTGCGTTAGCAGTCAAACCAAAGGTAAACGAATACCCCGGTAATCCCAGCTTATTACGAAACTACCCTTCGCTAATTGGAATTTCAAACATGATTACGAGAATATTGGAAATACTTCTATACAGCTTCCACGCACGAGAATGGTAACGCGGTAGACAGGGGAGAATCCAGCAGATGCAGGGCGCACTGTATAAATGGCAATTGCGTAGACGGAAGGTGTCAGTGTCGCCCTGGATACCAGGGAGAATTCTGTAACGAACGTGAGTTGCTGATAATCTACGAATTTTTCAATCGCATTCCAAGTAAAGAAGAACAAAGTTTCAGAAACGAATGAATCAAACGTTCGACAGTTCTCTTTAATCCTCAGTAAATCGATGTCAGTTCCCGAAGTTCCTTCTAACAACTCAAAGTTAATATTTCCTGAAACGAGCGATTCCAAGAATTGATTTCAAGTAAAGAAAACATTTTTGGAATAACATGTTTCAAAGGAATTACAGACTTCTTGTCAGAAGAAACTTTGGCAGACATCATTTTACTGAGGATCAAAAAGTGCTAGAAAAATTTTGATTGTCGTATATATTACCATTGTTTACCTTTAATCGATTCAATGGAACAGCGATATGTCGAGAGCCCTGCTTGAACCAAGGAAGATGCATCGGAGTAGATCGCTGCGCCTGCATCTACGGTTACACAGGAAGACGATGCGAAACGGATTACAGGTTAAACATTCTACGTCACAGAAAGATAGAAGCAGAATCATACTTAAAATTAATTCAAATTTATCGTTCCTCGTTGTTTTATTTCTCATAGAACTGGCCCGTGTTTCACCAAAGTGAAGAATGGACAATGTTTGGCGAACCTTCAGGGTGTCGTTTGCACGAGGCAACTGTGCTGCGCGACGGTGGGCAAGGGATGGGGCCACCCCTGCGAGAGATGTCCCGCTAGACTGGACTGCGAGCTGGGACACTTGAAGACCAATCAGGGCCAGTGCGTTGGTGAGCGTACAGTTGCATAGCAGCCCCACCCTATAATAATGCAATTAGCGCTAACGACGTGATCATAAGGAGGAATTCATACGAACCCATGATTTATACATTAGACGACTTGTTTCTGTCGTTAATGTGCTTTCCGCCCACTTGCCAACTGTTCTTTTTCTTATCGCTGCTAAAGTAAATGCAAAGCATGCTCGGTGTCGCTTATAAAAGTCTGCGAAAAGATATAATAAATTGATCAATTTTATAATTTAAGATGATTAAAGTGAACGAGTTCATTGTGAAAGATGATTCGATTAAATTGCATTAGACATAAACGAGTGTGAAGCAATACCAGGATTATGCGAGGGTGGGAAATGCCTGAACACTCCTGGTTCTTTCACCTGCGAGTGTCCCGACGGACAGGCTAGGGATCCAGAGACCAATGCATGCAAGGACAGGGACGAATGTCAAGAAGAAGGCATCTGCGCCGACGGAAGATGCATAAATACTGTCGGTGGTTACTACTGCATGTGCAATCCTGGATTCATTCAAAGCCAAGATCGAAGATACTGTATCGGTAACGATATAAACATCGTTCACAGTTCAATCTATAATTAAAATGAATTATTACCGTGCCGCGATAGAATGACTGGAATAATTTATTAATTCATTTATAGACGGACGACAAGGATTGTGTTACACTTCGGTGAACAGAAACGGTCAATGCAAAAATCGCTTGGAGATGAGACTGAGCAAGAAGGACTGCTGTTGCGGCAAGAACATGGGAAGAGGCTGGGGCGACGAGTGCTACATTTGTCCTAATTTTGGAAGCGGTACGTGAACAATGAAAATATCAATCGATTAACAAAATCAACCCTTTCATTTGTACAAAACGACGGAGCATTTACCAATGCGACAGAACACGTGCATCGATTTCACTCGAATTGAATGGGAACTTTGAATACGTTTAGCTGCTAGGGAAATTTGTAACTGAATTCTACATGACCGGATTATTAACTGCATTAATTGCATAGAATGTCCTCTGAATGGGACGGCCAAGCGTAACCGTGTTATCAGTGTCGGCAGCCATTGTAACGGGATTCCTGTTATTACTCAATTATAGACGATTACAACAAGCTCTGTTTGCAACAACTGCAGCCGATCATAGAGATAAACGAGTGCATGCTGCGTCCGGACATTTGCGGAAACGGCCAGTGCATCGACACGAAGGACGGATATGAGTGTAACTGTTACTCAGGATTCACGAAAAAAGCTGGCAGATGCGAGGACATCGACGAATGCCTTTTGGGCTACTGCGAGGGTGGCACTTGTCAGAATTACGAGGGTAGCTTCACTTGTCAGTGCCCACCTGGCTTCGTTGTATCCGGGGAAGGCAGATACTGCACTGGTAATTACATTTTTCATTCATTTCTCGATGAAGAACAATTGAAATCTCTATGTAACAGCTGTAAAACGAAATTCCATCTATCAGTGTGTTACATCTCCTTTCGTTTTTTAAAAATTAAAATCTATTATATAGGTTTGTTGAATAAACGAATTTTTTTATAGACCACGACGAATGCCAGGACACAGGCACGTGCAACAATGGTCACTGCATCAACATGAACGGATCATTCCAGTGCAAGTGCAACGATGGCTATGTGCTATCGCCAACAAGGAATACTTGCATCGGTATTATTACACTTAAATCCTTTTTTATAACTAGGAATAGTGTTCTGAAAGATTGACTGGTATAAACGATTAATCTGTTCGATGCAGATATCAACGAATGCGCCGACAATCCAAGAATATGCCTGAACGGCAGATGCGAGAATACACCTGGATCGTATCACTGCATTTGTCAACCTGGATTCACTGCCTCGCGAGATAATACCTTCTGCGTGGACATGGATGAATGTTCGACGAGTGGCATGTGCGAGAATGGGAAGTGCGTGAACATGGAAGGGTCCTTCAAATGCGTCTGCGATTCGGGCTTCCGGATTGGGCCAGACCAAAGTCATTGTATCGGTAAATTTTTTAGACTCTAATCATTCCGTTTCGTCAGAAATATTAAATACTTATTCAAAATGTCTGTTCTCTTATGGTTATTTACGTTTTCACGAGTAGACATTGACGAGTGCCTAAGTGGACCATGCCAAAATGGCCGCTGCATTAACACCCCCGGCAGCTTCCGGTGCGAGTGCAATCCTGGATTTAATTTGGGACCCGATGGAAGATCTTGTTTGGGTAAACGTTTATACAGTTCATTTATTGAATCGTTAAAATCGCTAGTATATTAAATATATAATTATTCCATCTTATATAATTATTAACAGACACCAGACGGGATTTGTGCTACTCCCAATACAGAGACGGACAATGTTCGAACCCCACATCCGCAGCAGTGACAAAATCTAGCTGTTGCTGCTGTACTGTGATACTAGGACAACCCATGGGCTGGGGAAGCACTTGCCAGGCATGTCCATTGCCTAATACGAGCGAATTCGATGCATTGTGTCCTCATGGCGCAGGAATGACTTATAACGGAGATGGTGAATAAATAAAAATGAACAGCGATTAATATAATAGTCAAATTGGAAGCAATATTCGTTTTTCGTTGGAATAGATATCAACGAGTGCGCGCAGAATCCTAACATTTGCGTGAACGGTGGATGCGAGAATCTGATGGGAACCTATCGATGTATCTGCGACAGCGGCTACGAGGTGGATGACACGGGCAAAATCTGCACAGACATAAATGAATGCGAACTGGAGGAATCGTTGTGTAGCAAGGGACAGTGTCGCAATACACCTGGTAGCTTCCAGGCGAGTGTCTTCAATTTTATGGATTAACAATAGAATTATAGATATTTATATAAACTTTATTGTATTGTTCGTGGAAGAAGAGTGTTCACTTAGATTTTTAAAATTGGAACTTCAAGAACAGAGAACTAGGATATGTATTCACATAGTTGCATCGATCTGAATCGACGTAAGCTTTTATCAGATAATATTTATGAAATGAGTTTGTAGTATTGTGTATGAACGAAAAGTGTTCACTCGATTAAATCTTAAAAATTGGAACTTCAAGTACAGAGAACTAGGATATATATTCACATAGTTGCATCGATCTAAATCGACATAAGGTTTCATCGGATAATGTTTATGAAATGAGTTTGATTATTAAAATTAGTGTTAATAATCGACCAGATACAGCGATATCAATTTCACCGAATGCACCGTGACTAACGTGAATTTCCATTGTACAGTGTATTTGTCCGAGTGGCACGAGATTCAACACAGAGAATTACATGTGCGAGGACATCGACGAATGCGAGGAACTTGGTCCCGATGTCTGCTTGAACGGAATCTGCGTGAACACTCAGGGCTCGTACGAGTGCGAATGCACTTCCGGATATATTCTCGATCATACTGGTCACATTTGCATGGGTATAAGCTTCACGTTCTATTCCACGAAAGTTAATGGATCATTCAAAGCACTGAAGATCCTAGAACCACGTGTTTATGTCTTGGTTATACTGTTTCCAATTGTGTGTCTGTAAATAATTGTTTAGATAATAGGAGAGGCACCTGTTGGACGAAAATGATAGAGGGTCGCTGCGAGAATAATTTACCAAGGCTGGCTCTGAAATCGGAGTGCTGCTGCTCCGTAGGGGTTGCTTGGGGCAGTCCCTGCGAAATTTGCGATTACTCTTTGTGCGAGTGTAAAAAGGGATACGCGAAATTCGGCGGGAAGGAATGCGTGGATGTTAACGAGTGCGAACTGAATAGCGGCATATGCAAGGGTGGCGGCACTTGCGTTAACACCGATGGCTCCTATCGTTGCGAGTGTCCTCCCGGACTGACTTTGGATGCAACCCGTGAGTCTTTTTAATAAATCGCGAAGTAATTTATTAGTCGCGATCTTGATTTGGATAGAGAAATCGCTGATCAATTTTTATTGTTAGTCTATATCTCTAGTGGTCCATATCCTCTGTAAAAAAGATTCTTTAACCCTTTGAACTCTGTAGGCTCCAATACTGCACCAGTTATAATATTAAATATTTTAATGAATCTTAAAGGAACTACTCTAAAATTATTCGATTTTCCACGCATCCAAATTTTGTACTAACAAGGAAAATAAAAGTTTGAAAAAATGTTATAGCATTTCTAATTTTCGTTAGGAATACTATAAAAATTAATTGCAGTTGCTCATAGATTACAAAACAGCCTGGAGTGCTAAGGGTTAAATTACACATATAGAAATAAACATTATTTCCAAACTGCATTGCCAAAGTTACGAAATGGCTCATTTCAAATAATTACTCTCTTCAGGAAATGAAATCAGAAATTCTGAAAAATGTTGTACCTATCCGTTTCAGACACCACTTGCGTAGACACTAGGCAAGAGACATGCTACATGGAGTATCGGCACGGTCAATGCACCAACGCGATCGAAGGCCAATTTTCCAAGAGCCTCTGCTGCTGTTCAGTTGGCCGTGCATGGGGCAGCGAAAGATGCGAATCCTGTCCGAAACCGGGCACCCACGCTCATAACGAGCTATGCCCGAGAGGAGATGGATTCACCGACAAGCACGACATCAACGAGTGCGTCGAGTTCCCTGGAATGTGTTTGAACGGAAGGTGCAAGAATACGGTAGGCAGTTACAGTTGCAAGTGCAATCAAGGCTTCGCGCTGGACGAGCATGGGATCAAGTGCAACGGTGAGTGAGAAATTTCATTTCTTAAAGTATCATGATAATCATTCTAACAATCAATTGTACAAACCTGATGATTCTTCTTATAGACATCGACGAATGCGAGATCATGCATGGCGTATGCGGAAACGGCACCTGCAGGAACACACCTGGCAATTTCCAGTGTGACTGTAACCCGGGGTATCGCAGCAGTGACATAATGAAAATATGCATGGGTAATCAAATTATTAATGACATAATCTTCCTTCCCTTTTAACCTTCTCAATTTCACTTAAAAAATCGAACAACGCTTAGACGCTACAAGTGGAATTTATGTTAATGTCTTCTCTAAATGAACCAAAAAGTGAATATTAACCCTTTGCACTCGAAAATTGTTTCGCTAGATATATTCCTCATTTCTATTGAAATATCAATGATATATTTTATAATTAACATTAACACGTTGAACGCCGCACGATTTCACAGAGGAAAATACGCCGAATGGAAAAAATATAATATTAAATCATTCGATCGAATTGCAGTATTACTATTCCACGTTCACCTAGCTGAATGTCACTGTGTTATGTAGCATTATTTATAATAAAGAAATGTTTTCATATAATCCTCGTTTCATTGAGTGAACTATAGTAATTCGATTTGGTCGGGGGTCACCGGTGACCCCCATGGCAGTCGTGTTAATGTAAATAATATAGAAATTAAGAGATAGAACTATATTTTAACGTTTCATGGATAATCACGTTAAATGAACTTTAACATTGAACATCAGTCTTTGTAATTTTATTCCATCAAACCAAATGGCGACTGTGAGTCGCCTCTTGAGTGCAAAGGGTTAACACCATCGGTGTTTTGTCCAATGAAAGTGCACGAGGAATGAGAGAAGAAAATAATAATAAGTCAAATGATAGGTGTAATGAATTCAAATTAAATTTCAGACATTGATGAATGCGAGGAGACGCCAGGATTATGTAGAGGAGGCACCTGCGTCAACACCGAAGGCGGCTTCAAGTGTCTGTGCCCACCTGGCCACGAGTTGGGCCCTGACAAGCAGTCCTGCAAGGACATCGACGAGTGCTCGAGGACCAGCGGGATTTGCTCGAACGGCGCCTGCGAGAACATGATGGGGACATATCAGTGTATTTGCGACGACGGCTACCAGCAGACTGGATTGAAGTCCCATTGCGAGGACATAAACGAGTGCGCGGTGAACAACGGCGGCTGCGAGGACATTTGCCTGAACACGCCTGGAAGCTTCTCTTGCTCGTGCGGGTGAGAATATCTTTATAAATCTCCATTATTAGCAGACTATGGATTTTATACGCATCTGTAGCTTATCGTTATTCTCATCGGTAGCGTCGGTTTCGCACTGAATCTCGACGGTCGATCCTGCATGGATGTCGACGAGTGCAAGGAAAATCCTCGGATCTGCAACGGCGGCAAGTGCAGTAATATTCCTGGTGGATACATATGCACCTGCACCGATGGCCTGTTGCCTGGCAGTGGAGCTTCTTGTGTAGGTAAGAAAGAAGTCTTATGAACGATGTAATTCTTCTTGATATTTATACCTTTGTTTCGACGTCTAAAGATGCTATTTTGTTCTTGAACTTATGAGACTAAAGCTTTGATGTATATTATGTTTAAAGGAAAAAAAGTTCGAACATAAACGGAAAGATTAATCGATAATTAATTGTTAGCTTCGCCAGCTGTAAATAATTTGCAGATGTATAAGTTACATTGTAAGTGATGAATGTATTATTTGCCAGATGTCGACGAATGCACCAATCAGCCTCACATTTGCGGCTACGGTGAATGTTACAACACCATTGGTTCCTTCAACTGTCGCTGCGAAGAGGGGTACTCCGTGAAACCGGAAGCAGGCCCTGGCTGCACCGACGACGACGAATGCCTCTTGAATGCGTACTCCTGCAGTGAGTTCGCCGACTGCCAGAATACCCAAGGTTCCTACGAATGCACTTGCCACGAAGGTTTCGTGGGCAATGGCATCGAATGCAGAGACGTCAACGAGTGTCTGACCAACAATGGCGGCTGCGACTCTAACGCCCAGTGTATTAACACCGAAGGGTCGTTCAAGGTACGCGTCATCTGTGAAAGTTTTACAATCGAATCACTTCAACCTCAGGAACGTTTATTGTAACATTTTTTACTTCATTGTCTGCTATTCATTTATAATTAAGAGCGTTCCATTTGCAACTGTTCCAGTGTGTCTGCGACGCTGGCTTCAGGGGCGACGGCTACGACTGCAAGGACATCGACGAGTGCGCCAACGACAACACCCTCTGCGAAAACGGCCACTGCCTCAATTATCCGGGCTCGTTCCGCTGCGAGTGCGAGATGGGCTTCATGCATCCCGACGAAAATAGCGAGCAAACCTGCGTCGACATAAACGAGTGCGAGATGTTCAGCAACCTGTGCGTGTTCGGTCGCTGCGAGAACATATTCGGAATGTTCCGTTGCGAGTGCAACGAAGGCTACAAGCTGGACGGATCGGGTGGGAATTGCACGGACATCGACGAATGCGAGAATCCACAGTCCTGCCAATACGGCACTTGCATAAACACTCAGGGCAAGTACATCTGCAAGTGTCCACCCAATTACGACTTGGTCGAAGCTGGGAACGCTTGCGTCGGTGAGTGATTTTCAGTTTGATTTTCGACGGGTGTACGAAGTATTTCTGATTTTATTATTTGATTATTTCCGATATCACGTTGCAGTTAGTTATTATAGATGTTCACGTTGAAATAGGGAGAAAATAAAATTTATGTGATTCCATGTCTCAGACAGGCGAGAGTCGTTCTGCTTCACCGGTTTCGAGCGCGGAACCGGAAAGCCGCAATGCATCTTCGACATGTCCTCCTCCGTGACCAAGGCAACCTGTTGCTGCAGCATCGGCAACGCTTGGGGAAATCGTTGCGAGGAATGTCCTTTAATTGGCACGAAGGAATTCGAGGAATTGTGTCCCGGTGGGCCAGGGTACAGGCCGAACCAACTCACCGTGATCCTGGAGGATATTAACGAGTGCGAGGAGCACGAAAATATCTGTCAGAATGGCCACTGCACTAACACTTTCGGTAGCTTCATGTGCTCTTGCAACGAGGGATTCAATTTGGACGAGACTAAGACCAATTGCATCGGTAATGATAGAGGATGTTTTCAGCTTCTAAAATGTACAAAAACGAATGTTAATGGTCCAACTTAGAAGATGCACCATTCCAGAATTTTATCTTGAATTTTGTTCAAACATTTCTTTTTATATTTCTGCTTAGCTATTGTCATTGAATATTATATTAATTTCGAAAGCTATTTTTAAAGTTAGGTTGCAATTATTTACAGACATCAATGAGTGCGTCCTGCATCCACACATATGCGGAGTTGGATACTGTATCAATGATCAAGGAAAGTACCACTGCGAGTGCCCGGAAGGATACATGGCGATGCCAGGAGGAAGTACGTGGATACACAATTAACAGTAGATTAATTAGTCCCTGAAATATAATAATAATCGAATTGTTCATATCATCAGAGGAATGCGTCGACATGAGGAAGGAGTCTTGTTACCTAAGCTACGAAGCTGGTCAGTGTCTCAATCCCATGATGCACCCGCAGACGAAAATGTTGTGCTGCTGTTCGATGGGAGCTGGATGGGGAAGTCCTTGTGAGGAGTGTCCAGCTGAAAGGACACGTAAGAATTGAAATTTTAATGTACAAAAAAGAAATAAATAGAAACTATTCTATGATAGAATATTTCCACACATGTAACGCTAACATATTAAGTAGAGATCTATTAATTAACACATCAGACCAGTTTCTCCAAAGTTTCTATCAATATCACAATAGAGGATCGCTCAAAACATTAGAACATTGAATTATGTTTTCAGGTGAACATGAAATTTTGTGCGGCATGGTTCCTGGCCAAATAAAGAATCCAATAACCAATCACACCGAAGAAATCGACGAATGCGCGCTAATGCCAACGATGTGCACTCACGGCCGTTGCGTGAACACTCCCGGCAGCTTCGAGTGCCAGTGTGAACGAGGATACATCTACGATCAGGACTCGCATCAGTGTATCGATGAGAACGAATGTTTGCAGGTAGCAGATCGTCCTCAAAGATGATCGTTTACACGACGATTATATCATATACGAGTTTCATGAAAGATATTACAAGGAAAATTAACGATAAAATCGATAGCTTCGATACTAACCGCACCTTTTTAATAATCCCCGAAGGTGCCGAATCCCTGCAGCGGCAACGCGCAGTGCATAAACAAACAAGGCTACTTCGAATGCGTCTGTCCAGCCGGGTACAAGCTGGGACTCAGCCAACGGGATTGCGTCGATATCGACGAATGCTACGAGAGACCCGGCATATGCAACAACGGTGCCTGCAACAATTTGCAGGGCAGCTTCCAGTGCGTTTGCCATTCCGGCTTCGCTTTAACCAGGGACAGGGACAACTGCGTGGACATCGACGAGTGTCAGCGCAATCCGAACATCTGCAACAACGGGACCTGCGTCAACACTCTGGGCTCGTACAAGTGCATTTGCTACCAGGGATTCAAACTGAGTCCTAACAACGATTGCGCTGGTGGGTTGCCGATGAGATTACGATCACTTAAGTTCTTGATTACTTCGATGTTTCTGGATTCTTGTTTATTACATCGATAACACGAGGAACATGTTGGGACTAACAGATATCGACGAGTGCCGAATAATGCCGTACCTATGCCGCAACGGAAGATGCAGGAACACGATCGGTGGATTCATCTGCGAATGCGCTGATGGCTACGTGCTGGCGCAGGATGGCCAGCATTGCAGGGACATCGATGAGTGTCACGAGGTGAGTTACCAAGGAATTATATTATATAAAGAAAAGTGATGTCGTAGCTTTTTCTAAAATAACTATGAATTTTATTAGGTGCCCGGACTCTGTCCACCGCCAGGCAAATGCCAGAACTTAATGGGATCTTATATCTGCAACTGTCCGCCTGGTTACGAGTTGGATCACATAAGGAAGGCGTGCGTTGGTAAGTAAGACGAGACTCGAAAATTCGAGAGTTTGAAAATTTAAACGAATTCAAATTCGCGTTGGTAGACGTCGACGAGTGCGTGGAGACGCCGGGTATCTGCGAGAACGGTCGTTGCATGAACACGGAAGGCGGCGTGATCTGCGAGTGTCCAGTTGGGTACAAGTTGAGCGACAGGCCGAACTCAATGCGGTGCATCGATGTGAGGGAGGAGATGTGTTACGATAGTTACCAGCATGGACGATGCTCTTACCAGCGAACGGGTGGAATGACGAAGAAGCACTGTTGCTGCACAATGGGGAAGGCTTGGGGGAGATATTGCGAGCAGTGTCCTCCTGAGAACAGCGGTAACAATTTTACGAATACTTTATATCCGAGGGAACAATTTGTTCTCATCAGTTCAATTGTAAACGATAAATGAAACATTCGTCTAACGATATTTCTTTGATTTATTTCCAACCAGAGGAGTTCAGGAGACTGTGTCCCGAAGGACCAGGCAGAGACGACACAGGAATCGATCTAAACGAATGCCTGTTCATGCCTGACGCCTGCTCCGGTGGTGAATGCATAAACACCGATGGCTCCTTCCGGTGCGAGTGTCCGCAAGGATACGTCTTAGACGCCAGTGGACGACGTTGCGTCGACAACAACGAGTGCCTCGCCGTTCAGAACATATGCGGTAACGGGACTTGCATCAACATCAACGGTGGCTTCGAATGCTCCTGCAACGAGGGATTCACGCCTGGCGTGAACCAGGTCTGCGAGGACGTGAACGAGTGCGTGGAACTTGGCAACCAGTGTGCATTTAGGTGTCACAATGCACCTGGTACATTCAGATGCATTTGTCCTTACGGATACACTCTGGCTCCTGATGGAAGACACTGTATAGGTTTGTCCTCTATCTCTTCATCAATTCTGACTTCGTCGAATTTCAATTTTTGTAGAACGATAAGTGTCAATTTTAACACATCGCACGTCTTACGCATTGATGTGTACTTACTGTTTCTTTCTTTCTGCATTTGTTTTGCTTCAAGAGACAAAAAAATTCAAAAAAAGATTTTCTTAAATTGCTCATTCTTCAGAGACAAGTAAGGCCGGTGTTGAGGTTTTCGGCTGATATTAAACCGACGTGCAATTTGTTAACCAATGATATCGCTTCAACTTGTTAGAGGAAAGATTCGTTCAGACATGATTAATCGGCGTGCAATTGTTTCTTTAGACGTGGACGAATGCGCTACACCTGCGAACAACTGCAAGTACCAATGCAAGAACCTGATAGGCTCGTTCATGTGCATCTGTCCACCTGGATACCAACAAATTGGCATGACAGACGAGTGCAAGGATATCAACGAGTGCGCGATCAACTCTGGCCTATGTAGAAACGGTCGATGCGTGAATCTGGAGGGTAGCTACCAGTGTCTCTGCTACGATGGCTTCCAACAGAGCGAGGATGGCAAATCTTGCATAGGTAATTGAACGAAGGAACTGATCGATAAAATAGTAAAATATGTAATTTCAATGTATGCACCTTTTCTTACAGATCGCAGAGTTGGATACTGTTTCCTGCAAACAATCGGCGGAAGATGCACAGCGAGGACTCTAGATCTGAAGACAGTGACAAAGGCGGATTGCTGTTGCACTATGGGCGCAGCATGGGGACCGCACTGCGAAATTTGTCCTTCGAAGGATTCCGATAATTACAACGAGCTCTGTTTGGACAAGGGTTTCTCCGTGGATGGTCAAGGTATTAATGAATTTTCTTTACAATAACGTTTGACATCTAACAATGATACCTGCCTTCGAATGACACGACGATATTTAATTATATCCAGACTTGTGAGATGACGCTTCTTTGTTTCAGATATCGATGAATGCAGAACGATTCCTGATCTATGCAAAAACGGATTGTGCATCAACACGTTAGGTTCTTATAGATGCGTTTGTAACAAAGGTTACAAGAGTGACAAAACCGGAACCCAATGCGTTGGCAAGTATCCGCAATCATGACAAGTGTATCATTAGAATCTTCTTTTTACGAAAAGTTACTTCTAAATATGTATGTTAAATTTCAGATATAAATGAGTGCGAGCTGACACCGAAGCCTTGCAAGTACAACTGCCAAAACACAGAAGGAAGCTTCACGTGTTCCTGTCCTACGGGCTTCCTTCTCAATCCCGATGGTATCAGCTGCAGGGATCTGGACGAATGTGCGACCGGAAATCATCTGTGTCAGCAGAATTGCATCAACACTCAAGGAAGCTACACTTGCGGCTGCCAGGAGGGCTACACCCAAGATGGCGACGCTTGTCACGGTCTGTAATCATTATTCCGCGCGATGAAGGAGTGAAATATTATTATTCATAATATATAACCTTATCATTTTTCGAATTTTATACTATTGCAGATATAAACGAGTGTGAACAAGCTGGAACTTGTCCCAAACCAGGCACTTGTCTCAATACTTTGGGAAGCTTCCGGTGCATGTGTCCAAGAGGATTCAAGTTGGACCAGAGTGGCAGATTTTGCGTTGACCAGAACGAGTGTGCCGACGACACCACCTGTGAACATGGCTGTCAGGTAAATCGTACTAATTATTTCACGGATTTGTCCACTTTCGTATACTCTAAATAGTATTCTCACAGAAGTACCAGCGTTTTCGCATTTTCTACTTTAACTAAACGCACTCACTTGTTTTACTAAATTCACAGAACTACATGGGAAGCTATCGCTGTGGTTGCCCCGACGGTTTCGTTCAGCATCTCTATTACAACCAGTGTATCGACGAGAACGAGTGCAACGGATCACCTTGCGGAGACAGTACTTGCATCAACACGATTGGTAGTTACAAGTGCGGTTGCCCTGATGGTTATCAGTACGACAATAAATTACAGATTTGTATGCAGGTATGTTTCGATCTAAATACATTTCACAATTTTCATTATCTCATCTATTTCAGCGACCTTAAAAATAATATATTCGATGAATCTAGGTGAGCGCTGGATGCATTGGCAGTCCCTGTGCATTTGGATGCACTCCGAAAGGTTCCAGTGGCTTCATCTGTGGATGTCCGACCGGTTATCAGCGAATTGGACAGGTTCGTTGCCGGAGAAATTTGTAAAAATACAATTAACCATCTTGCTAACTTTTAGATGAAAGAATTATTATTTAATGTGTTTTTAATTTTTATTCATTAGGGCCATTGTTTGTCGACCATAAGTCCATTGTCCCAAGGACACTACGGCGAAGACATCAGCAACGCTCCCACCTTCGTCATTAATCCCGATCCTTATCACATACCGCCCGCAGATGATAAGACGATATCGACCGAAGGTTGCTTCTCCTGCAAGGTACCGTCTCTCAGTATTGAATGCTTGTTAATTAAACCAGCCGATATGAAAATATGGAATTACGATTTTGTATCAGATCAATGGCAAGGGAAGACACAGAAGAGGCGCACGAATGAAATCAATGGACAGGGAATTAATTGCACGACGAAGTGAAATCATGAAAACGAGGTTCACGAGGGCAGCGAAGAGACACCATCATGGCGAGGAATATGTTCTCAAGATCAGCCTGCGGCAGACGAGGCACCGAATGAGAATTATTAAACTGCAGCCGGCTGTCAAGGTACTATTGAAAACTTGATGTTTATTTAACAAAATCTCGAATTATATCTCTCATCGTCGTGAAACATTTAAGTTTCATGAATACTCGTGATTTTCTATAATTTCCACCGGATCATGTTCATTAAAGTGTGACAATGATTTAGAATTGGGACAATCGAAAGTACAGTTGAATTTTCTTTAAGATAACATATTAATATTCGCTCTTTTTCTCTGTTACTCTTTTTACAGATCGGTAACCGATAGAATTTTTCTCGTTCCCCTCTTCGACTTTTTCGAAATGTCAGAATTAGTAGAATTTGTTTCATTGTTTCTTTACAGAACGAGGATATCGTGTACACAATAGCGCACGGCGACAAGGAGGACCACTTCGAAATCGTGAAGGAGTACGGTGTCTGGGCGCTTCATTTCCGCAATCGATTGAAGAAACCAGGCCACTTCCGGTTGGCGATCCACGGACGCTCGAGAGACAACGCTACCGAGGAGAACGAAGTCTGGCAGAGGCCTCTCACGTTCAGAGTTCACCTGATAGTGACGGAGTAACGCTTAGGATCCAATGTTTCGGTTCTAATTAGTCAATTATCTCGCTTCCACGCGAGACACCGAAACGAAACGGCGAGAAACGGGAAAAGGAACGGGAGGGTATACTGATCCGAGTATTACGAACGAGAATTTTTTGCTGAAATTAGCGTAATCCCGCGCGGACGCAGCGGATGCTTTAAATTTTGTGTTCATGTGCCAGACTTGCGTCGTTCCCACTGCCAAATAATTGTGTTTTTCTTTTGTTTTATATAGAACTTAGCTGTGCACGGTCGCAATTGATTCTGTAACACTGCCTTCGCCTTTGTTTGATATTTTTCTGATATTTCTTTTAGATACTCTAGATAAAGCATAGATTAATGTTCGTTAGATGGTGCGAGGTTTCACTATGCAGGTGTCAAGGTTTCGTAAACTACGTATTAATTCATAATACTTTCAGGCTTACTTCATCGGTGTACTTTTTTTATATTGAGAAATTCGACGGAAATTTGTAACGTGTCACTTGGAATTCCCAGTATTTTGATACTTCCAATGAAACATTCATCTCTGGGGCACTTTAATGAAGTGAAAGCTCGACGGACGCAAGAATGAAATTGAACAATGTCTACCAAAAGACGCACGGACAGTGGAAGCTGTCTTAACAATCTCTGCCATAAGTTACTGCCACTCGTAACATACGAAACACGATTCGTAGAAATAACACGCTACGGATGTACAAAAAGAAACGAATTTTTTGTTTTTTGTTTGTTTTATTACGCCTAAGTGGACGGAGTAATGTACACACAGACGCACAGATATAGCTTTATATATTTATAAACGTTTATGGATAACTAGCAGGTAAAGAAATAAATTTATACGAGTCGGTGTAGAAAGTCTGTGGACCACGTTCGACGAATGTGTTCAAAGTCATCATTGATTACAATAACTTTGTAATCGAGATTCACGAAAATGGTCCATACTTTCGGTACACCGTCGAACGAAGTGCCTTCACGAGAATTAAAAGAGAATTACATAAGGATAGTAACGTTAATCGACTTGGTAGTATGTACAATTTAATTAGCAGCGTCAATCACGTCGATCAGTAGCAAACGCAAGGTGTAGCGTGCGACTGTTGTCACGATAAATATGTGAATAGAAATTATTATGGCTAGTTTTGTACAATTACAACGGATGCGAAGATTATTTCAGCCGAGATGGTTCACAAATATATGTATTATAATTTTATGTGCCGGAATGTTAATTGGCAACCCTCTTCCATTAATCGAATGCACGATGATTACTAAAACACTGCGTATTAGCTTTCACAGTTTCGAATCTTCAAGTTACTCAAGTGTTTTGAAGTAAACCAAATTTATATGAGATATCGTGCACGTAAACTTTACCAGGATAAAGTATGCTACAAGGAAAATCGCTAATATTGACAGCGTCTGGGTAGTTTTGGGGTGACAAAACGAATCCTCCGTGTCTTTGGTACCAGACACCGTCTTTCCCACAAATTTCCGGTTTCTCCTCTTCAAAATCTGACACCTGATAACAATTACTTGAAAAACCGCTCAACTTTCGAAGTATTTCAACTACAAGTTGATCAGACTTTATTGTATCTTACACAATCGCAGTCGTGGAAATCATCGAAATCTGGCGGATAACTACGTTCTGGATCGGGCAGATGATTTCCGGTAGAAAATTGCAAGCCTGGTTGATTAGAATAAACTTCTAACGTTCTTCCCGAGGTAGGATGTAGAATCCTTTAAACATAAATTTTAAAAAACTGACCAAATATCGTTATTGATATACAGAAGAAAGCATTGACGGAACGTTTAAAATATTAGACAATTGAAATATGAAATTTATCTGGATTTTTACGTAACAAAATAGAATTTTCTACTAACCAAGCTAAGTAGCAATTAATTAAATAAGAAATACAATAGTGTATTGTAGATCTGTGACAGTTACCTAGCGTGAAATCGATAGGACCAACAGCTGGGGCTGGTGATGCAGAGGTTTTGGTTGTAACCACCCCCTGGTACGTTGTAAAGCCGTTTCTTGGTCAGCTGCGTCGGTAAACGAAGATCATAGACTGCACGATCGACAGGAAATATAGCCCCTGTAGGCAAATTGTTCTTTATGTCTGCATAGGTCCAGCTATCAGCGTTAATTGAGACCACGTGCTTTTTTAATTCGGTTGGACCTGTTGCCTATGTTTTTTAACAGATTTTTAGTGGATTCAATCTGCAATCTTCGTGTACAGTTGAATAGATAATTTTTTAAACAAATTCTTTCTACGTATTTCACGAATCAAAGTATATTCCACATGTAAAAATTAATTATTTTTTAAAACGTGATATGTAGTTCGAGCAATCGTATTTTAAATTCAACGCTACGAATAAGACGCAACCATTTTCAGTTATCAATCCAGTCAGGATCTTTATAATGTATTCCGTAACGTAAAGATTCGATAACCGATCAGATAAGTTCTTACATGCCCAGCAAGATTCATCAGGCAGTTAAAAGTGATATTGGCAGGTGTTGGTTGAGTCGCAGTTGCTCGGATGTTAACATGAAGCTGGTTATCATCTGTCCAACAGAATTTGACCTGCGTCAACATATCACCTGGGTATCCTTCGTTATTCGCCGGACTATAATGACTCATCACCTGCGCGATCAACTCGTGACAATCGACAGCAGTTTGGAAAGATACAAAATACTTCGAAATGTTACAGATGAGTTAATCGAGCATAAATTAAACAAGCGATCAAACAGTTGTACCACATGTTTCTCGAGTATATAAGACTGCCAGTTGACGTTATCGAAACCAAGGAAACCTCCATTGACGTGACTGCAACCGTCTTCTCCGTTCACTGACAATCTGTACACTTTATTATTCACTGTCATGGTGCCGCAAGAGATTCGATTCACCACTCGCCCGATTATGCTTCCTATGTACCTGTTCTTCAAATATCCTACTTATATTTTCGTATCACTGTAATCAATCCTTACGACTAGGTACTTTGGTGAATCGTTTGTGTAAAGAGCATGATTGAAACACTGATTTACCCTTGATATCGTCGAATCCTAGAACAACGTCACCCAAGATGCCGGATTTATTTGGGATTTTAATGGATTGAATACTTGCACCCCAAGATATTAATTGCACCGATGCTTTATGCTTGTTAGTAAGAGTGTATCTACAGAAATATAGTATAAATTATTTTCTTATTCTTACGAATAAGAAAGCACCTTCATTCTAACATTCACCTTCTAACGATATCGAATTTTCCATTGCGTCTATCGTGGTTAGATTTAGGTAAAAAGCCAAAGCCATCCTCCTCGATAAATGTATCCTGTATAGACATATTGGAAAGTGGAGTTCCGATTTGTCTTCATTCAAACAAAATTTTATTTCGCACTATAGATTTAGTGTCACCCCATTTACGTATTTTTTATGAACCTTTCGATTGCAATGCAACTACGAGAATTTCGGCCATTGAAGCATGGTGCTTGAACACGTTACTGTCGAAACACCTGCCTCAAAAGCAAGCAACTTCGCGTCGAAAAAGAGAGAGTGAAATATGGCGGGCGTGAATCCAACTTTGTACGTCACCCCAGGATCTTATTCACTTCGATTTGTAGAAACGCCGATTCGTTTCTCCGCCAGAACGATAATCTAACGAGTATCGCACGGGAGGAAAGCAAACACCCGCGTGCACGTGAACAACGTCATCCCAAAGAAGCCGAGGAACAAGCGGAATAAGAAGAAAAAGACAGTTTCCAGAAAGCGAGGCGCGGCAAAGCAACAATCCGCTCGCAAAATCCATTACACGAGGCCAGGCTATTACCGTGCGCGGCAAGCGAGCGACACAAATCCGACAAGCGAGCCTCGTTCTTAACGGTTCGTCGCGGCCGTGACGGATCATCATCCCCCACGCCAGGGGAGAGAACGATCTCGCGGTGTTACGCGTTCACGGCGCGGAAGAACAAAACAAGAGGGAAAAAGGAAGAGCCAGAAACATCCTACGAGAAGGACGAAAAACCAAGCGGCCGGCGCGAAGAGCGAGGAGGCATCTCGCTACAGTGTATCGCGGGGAAAAAGGGAACAAGACGGAGAAAAGCTGAAAAAAAGAAGGAGAAAGAGAAAAGGGAACGTAAGGCCACGAAGGCATCGGCGAGCGTCCCCGAGGACACGAACCGTTTTCTTTCCCCGGCAGCCGGGCGGCGGGCTGATCAGTCTCAATTCCCGCGAAGCGTTTCGAGGCTCTGGAAACACTCGCTGGAAATAATTACATTAATGGCGTCGCCGGTAGAAAAGCCGTTGGATACATCGCCGGTAGGTGCCCACCCCACACACCCCAGCCACCCACCTACCGAGGCAGTCTTCCTCGAGGAACGGAAAGCAACCCCCTCCTCCGGGCTCCCGTTAGTTTCAATGGCGAAACATGGAACTGACGGAATAATGCTCCACCCACAGGCTAAGGTATACCAACGGGGGTGCACGGCCCCCCTTCGCCCACCTTCCCCAGCCATCCTTCCTCGCCGGTACTCGCGCTACCGTCTCCCTCCTCCTCGCGTTGCCTCTCCAGCCCCCGGTCGCCCTCTAGCCGCGCGCTCCCTCACTTTCTTCCTGACAATACATAATGCCATTCTGCCGCGGTACCGGCAACAATGAGTGCGCACGTCCTGCTGGAAAGTAATTATCTTAATGTCGACGAGCCCGGCGCCGACGAATGGAGAACATTCGCGCGGTGAACGTGGGCGCGCGCGCGCGCGCACGCTCGACGGCTGCCTTCTGTGCTGGCAGAGATCTCTCTTGGTTACCGCGCTTGCT